TGAAGTCTTGGAACATACAATTATTGATAATATTAAAACATTTCAATTTGCGTTATATTTTTTATTAATGATAAGTATGAGTTAACAGTGATAATTTACACTTTTTCTAATATTAAAAAGCATTAATAATAATGTTTAATATAAGAATAATAATGATGTTTAATATAAGGTTTAATATTTAAATAATAAAAGTAAGAAATTTTATTATTTTTTTTGTAAAAAAATAAACTCAAAGTACCGTTACTTTCTATCTATTTTATCGTTATTACAAATCTAAGAGCTACAGTAAACACTTTGACACCCAGCAAAGAACGAAGTCTACATCTGCGCTCACATTATGAGGAAGAACAATTAGTTTTGGAAGTACGAGAGCGAAGACCTTTGTGGGATTATACAACACCGTTAAAAGAGCGGTCTCCAAATATAACGAAGTCACTGTGGAATGAAGTTGTTCAAACCCTGAATGGAAACATAAGCGCTGAAGTTACCAAAAAAACAATAAACAATAATAAACGCTCGTAATATAAAAATAAAAAATAAATATGAAACAATAAGGTCAAATAGCGAGCAACAATTAAAGATGTAATATAATAAAAAGTGTTTTTTACAAAAAATTATTTTACATTAAGCGAAACGTTTCGGCTCGTACTAGAGTCTATCTTCAGTCGCAAATTACAAAATATATATATATTATAAGATAGAAGAGTCAATAAGTGGCGGAAAACTTGTGTGCTCTGCATTCTATAATGCGTTCATACCTTAGTCAATCCAATAAAAATTCTGTAAGTAAAATCAAGATGTAGCACAAGTAAAAACACAAACAAACAAATATTCCACTAGAACTTACGACAAATTCGATTGGATGCACTAGTGCGCACTTAGTGCGTCTTCTTTCAATGTATTGTAGAATATTTCAGTGTTGGTACTAAACACTGAAAGAGGACGCACTCAGTGCGCACTAGTGCATCCAATCGAATTCGTCGTTACTCTATAGAGTGTAAAATCAAAACTGTTAAAGCCGAGGACAAGAGGCAGCAATATATAAACAAGTTTCTCGCAAGTACGTAAGAGAAGGGAGAAAATCGTTAACGTTTAAAACGCGAAAAACTGAGTTTATTCAAAAGATCAAAATAAGATGAATCTAACATATCAAGATCGTTAATTAAGTTTAAACCATAAGGCTGTTCTTTGATATGGATCATCTCAGAGATTAGTCGTTTGTAAAAATTTCTTTCCCGGTCAAGAATCACAATGTTCTCCCAATTAAAAACATGATCGTAGTCTATTCTATGTTGAGAGATTACTGACAGCTGCGAAGCCTCACGTGAAACATTATTACGATGTTCTCTCATTCTAGTTTTCAACTGTCTCTTTGTCTGGCCAACATAAGACGCATCGCAATCATTATAATTAATTCGGTAGACTACGTTTGAAACAGAGTCACGAGGAGTGTAATCTTTATGCATTCTAATGATGTTGTTGAGTTTATTGAAACATTTGTAGCCTAGCATGACATCCGAATTCTTAAAAGCATGTCTCACACATTCTGATAAATTTTTTATGTACGGAAAAACAATAAATTTCCTTTCATCCGTTTTTTTTATTATAATTTGTGTTAGAAAGCACCGAAATAAGCCTTTTAATTCTAATATTTATGTTTTCAAAAATAATATCTAAAGGATAGCCGTTGTCCAACAAAACATTAATGCAAAAACGAATGTTTTTTTCATGGAAGTCCGGGTGAGAGAGCAAGAGAGCTCTATCTATGAGACCAAAAATCGTGCCTCTTTTATGGCATACAGGATGGTGTGAGAAGAAAGAGAGATATCTTCCTGAGAACGTTTTTTTGTGAAACTAATCGATCTTTAAGGAACGATTGACAACGTTAATAGAAAGATCCAAGAAGTTAATACAACGGCCATCCTCCACTTCCAAAGTAAACTGTAATATATTGTGAATTGAATTAAAACTTTCGACAACGCCGTCAACATCCTCCGCCTGGATCGCCAGAAGAATGTCATCTACATAGCGAAAATATAAAGAAGGTTGTTTTTTGATTTTAAAAAGGGCTTGATATTCTAGATCTTGTAAAACAATATCCGCAACGATGGGAGACAAAGGTGAACCCATCGGTACGCCAAAAGTTTGTCTGTAGACAACGTTGTCGAAAGTAAAAAAGGTTGAGGAAAGAACAAAATTCATGGCGATTAAAAATTCATTTAACGGTACGCTTGTTTTTCTCTCGATGTAATGCCATCTGTTCTCAAGGCCCGCTATAACCAAGTTCAGAGGAACGTTAATAAATAGTGAGACAACATCCAGCGAAATCAAAACATCATGTTCGTTAAGAGTCGTGCTTGAAAGAGAACAAAACAGCTTAAAGCTATTGATGACATTACTGCCGACAGGAGGAAGGCTATCAACAATGATGTTATGTAAGAAAAGAGCAAAAGAATACAAGGCGGTGTCAATGGAAGAGACAATAATTCTCAGAGGGAAACCGTCTTTATGAATTTTCGGTAATCCGTATGCTTTTGGCAATGGTTTGTCATTAGATCTAAGAGAATTGAACGTTCGTTTGTCAATGTAGCCCTTGCTATGCCAACGTTTAAGAATCTCTAAAAGGCTTGACTCGATATTTCTGGCAGGGTTTCTTTTTACTATTGAGTAGGTGTTCGGATCGTTTAGAAGATCCTTCATTTTTTTTTATTATATTACATCTTTAATTGTTGCTCGCTATTTGACCTTATTGTTTCATATTTATTTTTTATTACCAAAAAAAGTTTAAAAATTTAGTCGATACATATAGACGTATTTTAGTAGCAGAAACCAGACCAAGTGGATCGGCCAGATTAACAAATAAAAAAAGTGGCCTCATTATGAATCCATGGAATTTATTAGAGACTCTCTCTTTATGAAAAAATATAAGACAAATTTGCTTTATAAACTCATAAATGTAATAAGCAGTTTATAACTAATATTTTTTTCTGTATTATTTACAGAACTGAAACATTGATGAATGAAACTTTAGAAATAGCAGATGATTCTAATGAATTACTCGATGATCAGTCGTCGCAAGCGTCTTCTAGTGGTAAGGAAATACAAACATTTACAAATAAAACTAATAAGATTGATTCTCTTTAAAATAACACATCATATTTTGACTCAATTATTAGTATTCTTATTACTATCATGATATCATTTCAGATAACTGAAGAAAAAGAAAAAATAGTGAAAGCAAACGTTTAGAAATACTGTCTAAAATTGCCAGCTCACTTGCAACACCAATTCCTTCTCTTGTATTGCCGCCTTCACCATAGCGACAAGATGAAATTACTGCTTTTCTGGAGCTTCAAGGATATAGATTAAGAACTATGGATGAAAGAAAACGAAGAAGAGTCATGCAAATGATTTTTAATATTGTTAATGAGGATGACTCTTAAGATTACTATATGCAGAAATTATAATAACTTATAAAAAAAAATTAGAATAACTTATAATAAATAAATAATAATTATATTAATATTAAATATGAGTATCGTCCTCTGGCTCATGAAGTCTATTAAACTTAATAAATAAACAGTCTATGGAGCCGTTGCGCAGGATGTCTTGCGGAAAATATGTCTTATATGTGTGT